TATTCTAAAGCATTAGGAAAATGATGTTAGTGCTCTTTTGTATACAATTATTTATTAGGAAAAATATAAATAATTAATAATAATTTTTGTTGTGAAGTATTCACTTTTTTTTTGATTAAAAAATTATTGTAGTTTAATTATCTTTTATGCGTAATATTTTAAGGCAATTTTAGGTAATTTCAATTAAGAATTATTTAAAAGTATTATGCATACCAATCTAATAAAAAAATAAGTTAAGTGACCTTAAAATGTTATCCAAATTGATTATAGCCCTTCATCAAAGTAAAAAGTCCATAAAAAAAAACATTTGAATAATTGCTTTGCAATAGAATTTCCGAAAGGAATACCTTAAATAAATTCATTTATATAATCTGATTTAATTTAATTTCACCATTATTTTTGAAAACAAAATACTGTGCCTTTTCAATAAAAGAAGTATTTATAGTTATTATTCAATTATAAAAGGAAGATTTGGCTTAATAGAATTTAATATTTTTTCTATTTTAATAATTCTTATGAATAATTTAATATTCAGAAGGACAATTTCTATATTTGTTTATAAAGCTCTTCAAGAATAAAACAATCGAAAGTTGAATATAACAGAATAGATCTAATTGGTAAGAAATTTAACTTATATTTCGAATTTTTTTATAGATCCTCATTATTTGATATATTCTATTCAATTAAGAGGTGGTGGATGCTGCGGATCAAAACAGATTTATCCTAATTCCATTTATAATTTGCAATAAATTGATGAAAAATTCGTAACTTAGTTATCAACATTTGCTAAAATTATTTCTGAAAAATCTTTAAGTTTTTAAGATAAATTGCATCAAGATGAAGTACTTGCTGCATTTTAGTGGTTTTAAAACAATAAAGAATAATTTCATATTCTTTGTAACTATTAATCTGAAAATATAAAAAATTATTATCTGGTAGAAAAAATTACAGAATAATTAATGAAATAATTAATAATTTATATCAAGCTGTCAGGCTTTCTTTTTAAATAATTACTCTAAATTTGTAATGACTTGTTGAGAATAATTTTTTCTTATTTATTACAGAATGAAGATAGATACATGTAAGATGAAATATAAAAGAACTTTTTAGAAATTATTGAAGAAGTTAAATCTCAAATGTAAATAGAAGCTGCCAATATTTGGATGAATGGAGCAAATTTCGAGCTTTAAATGATGAATATTTGTATATCTCATTGTAGGACCAATTCTCAAAAAGGAAAGCAATTCATTATATCTTTTGTTGGTGGGCTATTTTCATCTATTTCTTAACTAAAACCTAGTGAAAAATTAATAGATTCGTTAATTGAAGCAGGAAAATTTTTACTCTTGAATTTCTACAATAAACAAATACAAAATCCGCTTAAAGTATATGAAATTAATTATTATTTCGAAAATCTTAAATGGTCAATAGTAAACCAATTGAAATTGGGTTATTCTATTCAAAATGTTATAAAGCAGATTCAAGACGGATATTCAAAATACATCAAACTATCTAAGGATTGGAGAGTTCATTACTTTTGGGTCAATTTGATATCAGATATCATGTGTTATAGACCAATTTTCCTTAAGACTCAAATTAAATAATATTTATAATCATAAACTTTTGATGAAGAAACTTGGAATCAATTAGTAGTTTAGTTGCCTTATAATAAGTTTGCTGGTAAACTAAAATTATTATCCAACACAAATTTTACATTAAATAGTATGCATCTTTAAAATTGTTTTAAGAGTACTTGATTCAAAATTAATGTGATATTTAACTTTTGCCAAATTATATCAATTTTAATTTCAATGCTCAATAAGGGAAACAATTTTAAGATGAAGAACTTTTTATTCAATCATTAACTAATCAATAGAACTTAGAAATCTTAAAAATATTAATCAAATAATTAAGGTACTAAATTGACTAGGCACTTAGAAATTTTTAATTGGTAAAAAATTAAGTGAGTTGGCTTGATTCGTAAATGAATAGTAAAATACATATTGAAATTGAAATCTTTAGGCAAGAACTAAAAGTATTAATGAAAAAAATTAAATAATCAAGCCAGCTATTGCTATATTTAATTAATGAGATAAATTTAATTGTAAATAAGGAACTTTAAATTAATTTAATGATTTAAAAGATCTTATAAGAATAATTTTAAACTATAGGAAGAGAGTCAAAAAAAATAGAGGAATAAATTTTAGCAATCATACGAGAAATTGAAAATAAACATGGATCTGAATTTTTAGGTATTTTACAGAATGTCTCTTAATTTTAGATATTAATTGCTCGATATACGTCTCTCTCACACTTAGAATTAATTGAGGGGAATCTTGAAATTGAAAAATCTCTTTAATTATAATTAGACTAGGCCATCATATCTATTAATAATATATATAACTATTTCGATAAATTTCGTTTTTAGATCTCTAATATTAAGAGAAATTTCTTAAAGTTATTAGAATAATAAGAATTCAAGGGTGTTTTGAAAGAATCAGTTAGCTAAATTAATCCAGTATAAATAGTTATATAGTTGTTTAATCCTTAATTGATTTTAAAATTAATAAAAGAATCTTTGGAATATTATGAAAAATAATTGTAAGAGAATATATAAATCGAAAATGTAAAGGATGTTCAGTAAATTCTAAGAATCATTCATTCAAACATCAATATTTATAAGGGATTCGAAATAATTCTTAAATAGCACCAAAAAATCCTATTATCAACATCAACACTAATTTAAGGAGTGTTTGAAAAATTAAGTTTTGGCCACATATAAAATAAGTAATAATGTGAAATAGATATTAAACAATATATAAAAGCATTCATCCTCAAAATTAGGGAATAATTAGACCTTTTATTTCAAAAATACTAAAATTAAGAATTGACCAAAGAAGAATAAACAGATTTAAGTATTATATAGAATCAACTTAGTAATGAGATGAATAAGATTAAAGTGATGGATTGGAGAGATTAAATGAAAATTGAAGATACTTGATTATTATGAGAAATTGAGAATGAAGTAAAATATATCGGGTTTGGTATAGGATGATAAAAATAATATGAAATAAGAAATTTGAATAGTATTGGATGACGATGTTAAAGATATAAATTGAGAGGATAAAGGAAAAGAGGGGTTGCGGTTAAGTAAAGTTATGAAAGAATGATGTAGGAATAATGAATTTGGGAAGTTGAAATTAGAAGATTTGGGTAATTGTAAAGACGTTTAAATAATTAAGAGAAGTTGATAATTAAATGAAAAA